AAAAATAATCTTATAAATTATAAGTTTATTTTCTGCGATAATTTTATGCACATATGCATATTAATGTTTTCAATGTTAATATGGTTGATAAATAATATATATAAAAAAATAAATAACAATAATAACAATAATATTAATAAAGGTGCTCGAATAATGCTTTAGTGAATAATTAATAATACTACAATAATGCTTCAATAGGCCAATTTACGATAGTGCGATTAATGAGATAATTATTGATTAATTTATAGAAATATAATAGGTAGGCCTATATTCCATTAATAATGATTCAGCATATTAAATCAACAATACGTCGTAAATGTAAAATGTTTGGGTTTTTTTTCAATAAAATTTTACCTATTTTATTCTGTTTCAAAAAAATATTAAATTATAATATATATATATATATGTATATATACATATATGTGTGTGTATATATATGTATATATATATATATATATATATATATATACATTTAGAACATTAAAAAAGAGGAATGTGCGAGTGTGAGAAAAATTGACCAAACCAGGTATGCATCGAACATTAGACTAGTAATCAATTCAATGAATTGCTGTAGTAGGCCTACGTAAATCAGTAATCAGTGAACATTGTTTCGATCTATGTTTCATTAAAATTTAACTATATTCGATCCTCCTTTTAATAATATGTTATGTCCATCTTCTTGTAGACGAGAGAACTTATACGGGGTGCCGTTAAGGACATTTTTATTTATCACAGAATGTCATCAAAATAACAGTGTCACGAACTGTGCCCCGTATAGAACTAGGCCTAGTATGTATGATTATATACCGGTACAGCATATTAATATGATATCTTCTGTCAATTTTTTATGTAGTTTTAACCCGGATCCGACCGTGCGTCATACATTCTGGTCAGTAGTCATCGGGGGCACGTTCACATGGACAGCTGTTTACGGTGTCAATCAATCTCAAGTTCAACGGTACTTAACATGTGGAAGCGCAAATGTAGCAAAGATGTAAGTGAAGGCCTATCATGGTACGGATGGTGTCGTATAATGTCGTACTCATGGCAGCGCCCCCTCTCTACCTAGGCCTAGCTTTTATTTTCCTCTAATAATGAGATGTTTCGAGCTAATCCTATATGGGTGCAACTCTCCTGGCGGGCGCCCCATCCTCCCCATCTTCAACTGGTGTAACCACTGGATCTACAAAAAACAGTGTAACTCCAAACGTGTGTTACTAAATTCAAGCTATCTATACACACCTACGCTTATTTTATCCTACAGCATAACACTGTGATCCTTTTTATCCCCTTGCTACGAATTCTCACGTTCTGTCCCACATAATTCCTAGGCCTCACCCTAAATAAACCGATTTGAGTTTGTACATCCCACTGGGAACCAGAGTTAATGCCCCTAGAATAGATGCAGCGGATGTCGTGGGTAGATACATCCACGAAGTTTAATGAGACGTGGATAACATGTAATTTTTCAAGGACACACGAAAAGTTCGACTATATTAAATCGGATTCATGACCGTTTTGTTTTCTTCGAAATATTATTGTTTATTATAATAAAATTTATCTCATGGATTCAGTACGGTAATAGCAACGTTGCAATAAGTTGCCAACTTCAAAAAACTTTAAAAATATGAAGCTCCGCGGCGTTTATTTGGTCATTTACTGTGTATGCGAAAATAAAGTATTACACCTGTAAGAGTTGCTTGTTAAATGTTATTTTAAAATAGCAGAGATAAACGGACCTAACATAGTGATATACTGGCATACGGCACGCCGATGTTGGATTGGATTCATTCGATGACACCAAGGATAGCCCACAAAAGTCTAGAACACCGGGAGACAATCTCTTTTTCGAAGAGTGTACTGCGTTTTTTAACGTGCACATGGGCCATAAGTGCACACGGGACCAACGGCTTAAACGTCTCATCCGAAAGACGGTGCGCTATTGTAACTTTTATTTCAGCCCACCAGCTGAAACACAAGGAGAGGCAGCGATGGGAATTGAACCAAGGACCAGAGACCTCCACGGTTCAGCGCGCACACAGTGGCTACCACCTAGGCCTACTGAGCTAAAGGTTAAAAGTTATTCATTTATAAGCTGCTCTCTGTTCTTTGACGAATGATGAACTTTGTTTAGATAATAAAAAAGTTAATAACATATCTATCATTTTAATATATTTTTGAATGTTATAGAATCATGATCACCATTACAGCAATATTAATAAAACATTCAAATGTACTTTTAACAATATTTTAATCTTAACGTTATCGTAAACAAGATTTGGTACATTGAACATGTCAGGTTTTAAACAAAAATACATCGCTTTGTATATTTACATTCCGAAAACATTATCAGGTAATTTTCTTTTCGATTTTTTAAGTGCTTTGTTGATTTCCACCATCGGTATGGTGATAGTCGTATGTCTGGCGTGTCTGTCAGGCCTTGTCATGTACGCCGTGTATGCTGGCTGTGACCCGTTGCAACGAGGCGAAGTCGCCAAAAGTGATCAGGTAAATGTGTGCTTCCTACTTTCATTATAGACCTATTTTTATTCAATTTTCCCAAATAAAAATTTTTTACTCTAATAGAAACTCACCAATCAGAATAGGACCTGGCATACGAGCGTGTCCGTATGTTTAGCAACTATTATAGGGCGTGGCTTAGCAAAAAACAGTGAGTGCCTTGTGTCCAATTAGTCTAGTCTATACGTCTTTAAATGCACATAAGTATACTAAATACGGTACTGTAATGTATGGGTTTTTGTATATGTATTTATATACACTTTGTTAGAAATATGGGCCTAAATGGTACTACAATGTACTGTAATTTGGATATTCTAAAACGCACAATGCCCATTACAAAGGGCTATTACCAACAGCCCGTAGTACCACATACTATTACATAATTTATCTATGTGCCTATCAACAGCCCTCGACCTTCCCACACTCTCCTCTCTTAGTATTGATTGATTTGTTAAAGTAGTGTTTTGTCCATTTCAGTTGATACCATACCTAGTAATGGATCTCTTTGATCAAATGCCAGGCCTTCCCGGCTTGATTACTTCTGCCGTATTCAGTGCTGCTCTCAGGTAGGCCTAACTAACATTTTTGAGTGTTGTTTTATTCAACGAGATGGAGCAAAGCCCTCGAAAAATATGACAACTTAGGGGTTTCAAAGGCTTATTTAATCGATTTTAGTGTCTACTAGTATGTAGAAAATACATATAAGCCTGGCCTACAATGCTGGCCCCCCTGCTGGCGCCACCCCTGGGTGGAGCCAAGCTAAATGAAACATCCATTTCCAACGTGTGTAATTAAAACTAAATTACAAATGGATGGTGTAAGTATGCATTGTTACGTGATATTAAATGTACTAATCAAGTGACAGACATTTTGTTGTGTTATAATTTTGATATTAAACGCAGAGGCCACAAAACAAACCTGTTTCCTTACCGATACTTAAAATCCCATTGTACAATTTCTCTCCGTTAGTACTGTTTCTTCGGGACTGAATTCATTGGCTGCTGTGTACGGGGAAGATGTTGTCAAACTTGTATGGCCAGATATGGAAGAAAGTAAATATACTAAAATCACAAAAGGCCTTGGTAAGTCTTGTTAGTTGTGTCATAGATTTTTCATCATTACTAATCACTAGGGGCATATTCAAGGTGGGGGCGGTCCCGCCCCTCCCCTACTTTTGGAAAGTTAAAAAAAGGGGAAAATATGGGGGAAAAAAGAAAGAAAAGAAATTATTAATCGCCCAAAACGCATCAGAAATCCCAGTCCACATATCAAGCGCCCTGAGCATCTTACATTAAATGGATATGTGCGCTATATAAAACTACACTATTATTATTATTATTATTGTTGTTGTTGTTGTTGTTGTTGTTGTTGTTTGTTATTATTATTATAATTATTATTATTTCCGGCCGTCTAGAAAACAATTTCGCGGGGGCATGCCCGGACCCTGGGGTGGTGTTCCTCTTGATCGGCGCCCCCCACCCCACCCCATTTCGGCCCTCACTTGTTTCTGGTGAACATCGTTTTTGTGTCTATTGCCCCAGGTGGGGAGGTGGATGTAGACACTTAGCTGTCGTCCCACTTGTAAGAGTAAATCCAGTTGGAGGAATGATGAGATGATTCAAAAGCTAAATAGAAATGATACAGTCTACCAAAAGTAAGCCTACGGCGAAATATGATGCCATGCCCTGTCCTAGAAAGAACTAAAAAGTCAACAATCTGTTAAAATAGTTGTACAGTTATTCATGTGAATTCCCAACACACAGAGCGTGGATAGGTTATGAACTGAAAGTAGCCAAAAAAACCTATATCAAGCAATAGACCCACGCTCCCACTGGGAGACTATTTTTTAAGTTGCTGTGGTCTCTGCGATCGTCATTTACGCTGTTTGTCGTCTGATATTGTGCGTACAATAAACAAATCGTAGTGGTCTTCCTCGTTTCCATTATTACCGTGGTACTGTAAATTGGTAATGAATTTGTTCTTTGCTTCAGCCGGTTTCTTTGGATTGCTGAGTATGGGAATGGCAGTGGTGGCGTCATATATGGGGGATGTTCTCCAGGTAAGCGTTCGTATCAGATCCTATTTTTGTTTAAAGTGTGTCAGAGTCAAATATATGGTTGACGAAATCCATTTTCCTATTCCTTTTTTCATCAAGACATCGAGAAAACCAATTGATAGTATTTGTCAAGACCAGGTTGTTTATATATTTTTAAAAATTTTACATGAGACTATTGTTTCTGTTTAAAATTATACATTTCGCTTTGTAGATCTATTTTTAATTAATTGACTGGTTGATTAATTGATGGATTGGAATTGATAGATTGGAATTGAAATGAATGCAACATTTCGCAAAGTTTAACTATAAAGTTTTCTTTTTTTTTTCAGACTTATTGATAAATTTAGCACGATTGGTTAGTTGATTGATTGACTGACTGATTGATTGATTGATTGGCATATCAGAATAATCTTTAGCTGTGTATTCTTTAATTTTCAGACTGCTCTGAGTATATTTGGCATGATTGGCGGCCCCCTCTTAGGTCTATTTTCACTTGGAATATTTTTTCCTTGGGCAAACACCAAAGTAAGTTTGTAATAATTGATTAGTATTTTGGCAGTAATTTTATTTTGTGTCGTTAAAGTATTACAAATAAGTAGTATAATAATATTATTTAGTAATAATATAGTATTTTTTAAAATAATATTAATGGTTAATTATTAACCATATATATTATGGGAAAATGTGAGCACTGTTATAAGATAAGATAACTTTTATTGTCCAAAATTACATTGGAAATTTTTTTCTCTCTTTGACAATATGAAACACCTAAAATTCACATAAAAACACAGTACGATGTAAAAGAAACTTTTAAATTCACAACAATTTAAAAATCAATATTAAAATTAAACATGGACATTACTTAAAATTACTGTAAAACTATGATAAGTGATTAAAATTGGTAAAAATAAATAAAAGTTTAAAATAACAGACTGAGATTTATATGTTGAAATGTGTTAAAATAGAGAAAGGGCCTAGGAGGTAATATTGAATTAATTATGCTTGACAACTTTCTCCAGTTTATTTGCGAAATGCTTGAGTGTTAATTGAATCTGGTATAAAGGAGTTTCTCTGGAGTGACGGATTCGAGGAGCACACAGCCGAAAACCTGGTCTACTAGAGGTTTAATTGTAATGTACAGGATGAGTTTCATCGCTCATAATTTTCGTTACTTTGGATAATGGCTGATAAAATAAATGGAATATAGTTCTATGTACGTTAAATTGTCTAAGTTTTCTTTTTAAAATGCAGTCTTTGATTTGCTTTTTTTGGGTTAGTTTTGATTGCGCATTGCAGTTCAGTTTGTTATGAATAATTGTACCTAAATATTTATATTCTTCTACTTGTACATTTTCACCATGTATACTAAGTGGCATCGGCCTCTTTTCGAAAGTCGATTATCATCCTGTTAATAGGTCCATGGTTTTAATGATAGTTTCAGATAATTATTATCTCACCATTTGACAAAACAAATTCTCTAATCGCCTTTTAAATAGCCAGTAATGACAGTGTCATAGGCATATTTGATGATTGAACAGCATTGGTATTGCTTTAACAGGCACTTGTATATAATGAGAACAGAACTGGTGATAGCACACAACCTTGAGGTGCTCCCGTATTATATAAACGCACACTTGATTTCATATCATCCATTTTAACAAGCTGAGGTCTGTCACTTTGGAAATTAAGGATCCACGATAATAGTTTGTCATTTACATTCCTATCTAAACCGTAATAAAGTTATGAGTTGATATGACTGTGTTGCGTTGAATGCGCTAAAAAAATCTATATTCGGTCTAAGTATACAAGCATATCATCTTCAACACCACTTTTGGATCGAAAAGCAAAAATTGCATTTTATTTGTGACACGAACGAACGAACATACGAGCTTCCGTACATCGTATTCACTAATTTCAGAGCAGTCTTTTTCGGTTAACAATTTACATATTTCTTTTACTTCCTTATTCAGTGCGGCATCAATTCGACACTAAAAATTATTCCAATTCATTTACAAAATCAAAGGACACACGTGAAGTCGCATTACTTTTACGAGATGTACTTTTGTAATTCGTCATTGTTTGCATGATTGTAATTATTATTTATCCTTTTGTTTGTGTTATCAGTGCTACGTAGCAAACCTAATTTGAATATAAATAAAACAATGTACACAAACTTATAACGATTTCATTTGTATTTATTTGCTACAAATTTGTTTCGTAGGAGTATTATACTCGTCAGGCATAAATACATATGAACATATCAGACAGGATTGTACACTACTACTAACAGGCAATCTATGGAAACGATTCAAAACAAATTTAGAATAAAATATTTTGATAGGCTTAAAACTATGGATGAGGATAGATTGCCTAGACTACTATGTAAATCACTTATGGAGGTTAGATCACTTACACGATGGATATGGATTGATAACATTAAAGCATTATTAGACAAATATGATCTAAATGATATATATAATATGGAACCACAAAATACTCAGTGGATAAAATCTTTTAGTAATATGATCTCAGATAACAATAATAATCTCTTATACGAATGGTTTCAAAAAGCAACTAAAAAATCATCACTGAAGGATTACATTAAATACAAAAATATACCAAATTTAGAATACTACCTTTTGGACAAATTGAATTTTAAAGGTACACATTTAAAGTTTTAAGCTAGAACTAATGTTCTAGATCTTGAAGGCAGAAAACGGGCATGGTCAGATACGTACTCGGGCCATTGTATTATTTGCAAAAAAAGAGAATTAGAAACAGTCGACCATTTTCTATTTGATTGTGAATGTCTATCCTCTATTAGAAATGCATGTTTTGAAAATTTGAAAACCGACTTGTGTAAAATTAATAGGTACTTTTGGGACATTTTCTTAGAAGGTTCATGTGAATTTAGGCACCACTTACTTTTAGATAATATTTTTGATGCATACCAGAATATTGAAATTTGTAAGATATTTGATAACCATTGTAAAACATGTTTAATAAAAGCAATGACTGAAAGAACTGAACTAATGAAAAACATTACCACCAATATTTAATTTTTACGTTACTTACTGTACTTATAAACTTATATTTTTTGTCATTTTTATTTATTTATTTACTTTATATTCTGTTATTGAATTCTCTTTTTTTTTTAATTTTTTTAATTTTTTTTAAATTTTATTTATTTATTTATTTATTTTTTAATAATGAGAGTATTTGTTTTGTTTGTCCAGTATTTTTTCTTTACTCATTTATCTTTTCAATAATTCATTTTTATATGTTGTCAGCTGTTGTTTTGTAACTGTTGTACGGGTCGAACCTCTCCTGCGCGAGAGTGCTCCTCTGTTATAAAAGAGAGAACTAATATATCTTATCTTATCTTAAGTAAACAGGAAGGCCAAAACTAAACTTTAGAGGCATGCCTCAATGAATAAGCCAAATGATTTATCCAGAATAATTTGGAATGCCAGAGAACGTTCCTAATATTGAGTCCAAATGGTGTGGTGGTTTTAAGTAAAAGTTCCCAGTGATTCTCTTTATCTTTGCGATTTTTGTCGCTCCAATTGGCATTATGGTCAATTGCAATCACTCTGAAATTTGAAATTGAATGACCAGTTAAATGAAATGTTCGGCTACTGGTTGATCAAGCTAGATATTCTGATAGCTGATCTGTGTTGTGTCATTCTATATATATATGTTGCTATGGTGCATTGTTAATCATGGCCCTTGATTCATTGTGTAAGTTTAAATTGTTGAATAGCCAATGTTTCTTTCTGTGCCTACATGAAATGGCCAGCTCGTTGTCTATGATTAAATGAGCTTAAGTCTGGCTTACAAATTCTAAAATATTTCTCCATTATGCATAAATTACATTTTTTGCATTTACATTTGGCTAGGATTCAAGACTTTGTGGAATACCATATAGACTTATCTTTTTAGTGTCCATATAATACTGGCTGGCATACATATATTCGCTCCAGTTTCTGTTAGCATTAGTGTACATTCCTGTTTGGTATGCTCATAGGCCTATGTATATGCCCCATGAGTGTGGGTACCTTATAGCTACTCATACATACGAAAACAATGTAGCAAATAAATACAAATGATTTTTTTTTACATTGTTTTATTTTATATACAATTAAATATGTAACAGTTATTGGGTAATTATTGCTATGTTACAGTATCAATAACCATTCCATAAACAAAACGGCATCTTTATAATGCTGTACCATGTTTCTATAGGGTGCAATTTTTGGACTAATATCTGGACTCTGCATGTCATTCTGGATCGGTATTGGTGCACAATTCTACCCCCCATATGTTGAAAAACCACCTCTAAGTACGTGTTGCTGTGGTGCTGATGTAGGCAATTTCACTATGATGTTTGTTAGCACCGATGAGTACACAACCTCATCCATGACCACCATGATGACCATGGAAATGCCAGAAGAGAGGTAAATATATTAAAATGATTTGATGATGAAGATGTTGCTCATGATGATTGGATAATGATGAAGAAATTATGATGATGAACGATGATGGTGATAATGATAATAACGATAATAATGAGTGTGATGGTGGTGGTGATGATAGTAATTTTAATAAAGATTTTCTTTTGTTTAATATTTGATTGTATTCGATGAATCGTATGAAAAAAAAATGCTAACGTTACAAAATACAGAAGCAAAACGTTACGAAATACAAAGAAAAACGTTAAAAAGAACAGGAAACAAAATGATGAAACGTTGAACAAAAAATACAAAAAAAAACCAAACAAATGTAAAAAAAAAAAGATTTTTATTCAGACACCATATTCTAACGTTTCAAATGTAGGCCTATATTTTGATTTTGTCTAAAGGTTCTGTTGTAGTAAACTATATATTTATTTTTTAGGCCTGCAATTGCAACTTTGTACTCGATTTCCTACTCCTGGTATAGTGCTATCGCCTGGTTGACTGTAATTGTAGTAGGACTTATTATTAGTTTTGCAACAGGTAAGGCAATCATTAATTTAAAACTGTGTTGCCCAAGCGTCACCAATGATACAAGTTAATATACACAAAATACGATATCTAATAGTATCTCAATTCGAGTGAGTATAAGCATTAATTATATTTTGGATTATACCCTTTCGTTTTTTAAGGACCGAACGACCCGGCTGATATTGACCCTAAGCTATGTTGTTCTCTTGTTGACACAATGTATTGCTGCTTACCAGAGAAAATCAAGAAACCACTACGATGCGGTGTTAGATACGATCAACAATGGCACGTTGATGACATAGAGGTAAATATTATTGTTGACACATTGACGTAATTGTTTTGTACAGTACCTGTATTTACCCTCTTGTGTTTTTGATGATGTGGTGTCAGCTGTAGGTTTTCTTACATTCCGCTGACAGTACAATGTATTGGACGTTTCTGAGGTGTTAATTAAACTTAACTGATGAAACAGAACATATTATAAGCGTGAACAGGAACACGCGCATGCTACACGCACACCAGTTTACACTTTTTACGACGACCGCATACCAAGCCTTGTTTCTATAATGGCTGCGATTGATGACTCACAAGAAAAGCCCTCGTATTTGTGAAAAGGACAATATCAAAGAATAGAAGCGTCGATTTGGCAGCAGAAAGTAATAATTTTTGGGAGAGGGTGTCCTAGTTGTTGCTATAGATCTAAGATAAGGTGTTGCGTTATTAAGACTCATTACGAGGATTAAGGGGTTTATAGTCGTGGGAAAAACATCCTGGTGTTATTGGATCCGATATGGACACGTGGCACATATTTCTAGGACCTAATACACGTAAAAACCACGTTGGACAGAAGCCAAATACTTATTGCAAACAGCGACGTAGTAATGTCAAATTCAAAGAAATCAATGATACTTACATAAGAAATCATATTGAAAAAAAAACAAAAAACAAAAACAAAAAAACCAAAGCACATGGTACTTGAAATTGTTTACAATTATTCAGATAAGCCGATATATTATTAGCATCAGCAGAGGAACTTTCTGCTTATTTGTGGAGATTGGATCAGAACATAACTTTTCTATACTTTTGTAGAAATTTCAAAGCAATACTTAAAATGTGAATAAATAAATAAAAACAAAACAAAATATATAATTCCAATTGATTGTGAAGTAGAACAACTAACATGCAAAAGGGAAGTAGAAGAAAAATACAGAATTTCTCAAAAATAATAAAAAAGGAAAATGCTAATTAGCTAAAGTGAAAACACTCTATCAAGTCAACGATGTTAGGGACAGATTAAATCGCTGAAAATTTTACTTTGACTACCCGGGTTACCCCTTGTATTCGCAGAATATTTTAAGTAAAATCACTCTAGAACATTAGCGACACGGACAACAACTATTAAATGGCAAAACAAACTATGACTATACAAAAAGACAACAACATTCAGTGGAATAAAATTTGATACTAAACACTTAAAACGTAGTGCAATAAGTATGAACGAACTGCCAAATCAACTAAACAAAGACATTTTCATTTGAAATATTAAAAATGAAAGTGCAAGTACTATACATAAAAAAAAACTGCAAATAATTATTAATCAAATTTATGCCTTTTTTGCAGATGTTTTCTGAGCCAACTATATAATTTATATTGTTGTCTCAGATGTGTTGAAAGTCGTTCGTGCTGTGTAAGATCACCACAGACTAGATAATGATGATATAAGCTTTTTCTTTGTATTTCATTTCAGACTGAATACAAGGTTGTTAGCAATAAAGATGGGAAAAATGCTAGAGCAAAAGATGAAACCAAGCTTTAAAGCAGAGTTTCCTGATTTTATTTTCTGTTTTGTACTTGCGTCCCGGGTAATGACGTCTGAATTTGTACTTGCGTCCAGGGTAATGGCGTCTGTGAATTTAGGATTGTTTAAGTCCTTATGAACGACACCATCTATTTATTTGCATACTTTTTGACTGATTGCAAATAAAGAGATTTTGTTTACATAATTTTCAAAACAGAGTTGTTTTCTCTCTTGAATCATTATGCAAATAAGATCATGAATATTGATACAATTTTACCTTGTTTGTTTATGATTAGTTTTTAATTAAATAGAGAGCACGAATCACAAGTTGGTGTTCTTAATGTCTTCCAAAATAGTATAACAAGGTTTTTGGATCTTTTAATTCTTAAATGTATGTTAAAGACATTTATTGTTTTAATTCAAAACATGTTGTTTCTTGTGCGGTTTTGTAGTTTTGTAAATTATTTTTGTTCCGTTTTTAAATAACATGTCATAAATGACGCTCTTGAGTTTAGTAAGTCATTGTTCAAGATAAAAAAAAAATGTGAGGCCGTTGCCCATAACAATACATAGGCCTGAAGTAGCAACTTTATAACATTTTTGTGTGTGTTTATAATGCGTCCGACTTTTTTGTGATGAGGTTGATAATAATAATAATAATAATAATAATAATAATAATAATAATAATGATAATGATAATGATAATAATAATAAAAATAAAAATAATAATAATAATAATAATAATAATAATAATAATAATAATAATAATAATAATAATAATAATAATAATAATAATAATAATAATAATAATAATAATTCGTTCTTATATAGTGCTGCCTTGTTGGTTTTACATTTTAGTGATTTGGCATATAATATAAGGAGACGTTGATATACACAGATGTGTATAAGAGACAAGTGTCTATAGTGGTGAATTATGGTTTAGGTTTTTTTTAATAAAGTTTAAAAAATGTCTATGTATGTGAAAATGTAGTTGATTACCAAAGGTTACAATTTTTATTTTGAAGACTGCATGGTCTAGGAAGTGTACATTTTTTTATGGGGCAAGTTTCCAAGGGCGGGTTTTCTAGGGGCGAGTTGACTGCCAAATGGTGTTGCCAAAGTGCGAGCCAGCGTGTTATTTGATCACAAGTGCGAGACATCGCAAATGTGAGCCAGCGAGCCATGACGTCACGACAATAGATACGAGACGTTACTCGAGTTGTGCGAGGTTTCGGCTGAGATTTGTGGAGTACAATTCAAAAAACAACTATAGGTCTAGTAATGAATTATTGTGATGTTAAATAGACAATGTTATCAAGGAGCGACGTTGTTTTTCATTGGGACCTTCGTCCCTTCTAGTCTAGGCCTAGAGTAGGATAAGGCTAGTGCGACATGCGGACGTTGGTACGTGTTGGTTAGTCTACAAACGTCGCCTAAAGTAATTGATTTTACCCGGCAGAACGAAAGAAGGAAACTCCGCTTTTCAGTCGTCTTAGGCCCTTGTTTTTAGACAAACAATGACCTTTCAGAGGTCAAATTGCTGTCAAGAATATGAATTGGCTGCTTCGCAGCAATGAATAATAATAATACTCAAATAAATGGCCCTTAATTTCACTGTAAATGTGGAACTACACATAATTACCGTCAAAATGTGGTACCATAGTATGTGATCATAAAGACTTATTGATCCTAACCAGGTTGGAAAATGTTGAATGTTATTAATAATAATAATAATAATAATAATAGACCCTAAAAATAATAATAATAATAATGAAATTACAATTATTAATAATAGGACCTATTATAATACATGTCATTAGTGATCCTAACCAGGTTGGAAATATGTTAAATGTTATTATTAATAATATTGATAATAATAATAATAATAACATTTTTATTATGCCTATAAAATAACAATTATATTGATGATGATGATGATGATGATAATAATGATAATATGTAAACAATAATAATATTAATAATATTAATACTCAATAAAATATAATTATTAATTAAACAAGGCCTAGTTTACCAAAAGTAGCCTCGCCTCCTAGGAATGTATAGGCCTTTTAGTAGATCTCTATCTAGTACCAGTACTTCAGATCTAGTTTACACCTAACAAATACACTGTTATATTCCTTTTTTACTTGAAAGCTGGGGGCCTAGCTTAGCCTATCCAATTATTATATAGGTCTAAGCTATATGTACAAGAATAGATAGACCTAGAATAATTAATAAATACCTCAAATCGTCTAACTCTCTGTACTAGCCTATACCTACTCTACACTAGACAAGTTTTTATACACACAGCCGATACGCGGCGCCCTAGGAACGCTACTGGCCTCCTATCATGCATTTCGGTTGATTACTCGATTTTGGGCTCGCTGCTCGTTCTTTGGTGAAGGTGTTTCACACTTGATTACATTTTGTACTGTTCCTCTAGTGTAGTGAATAAAATAAAATTTGGCATGTATGTGTTCTGATTAATTTTCATTGCGAACTTGGATTATAGGATAATTTCTAGGGATTTCAGGGTAGGGCAGGGAATGCGAATTCACGGGGACTGAAATTCATTTGGAGCCGATATCCGAAAAACAAACTTTTGTTAAATTACGGTTCTACGAAAGAGATAAGAGAATGAAATTGTGTTAAACTACGTTAAAGTCGATATTGATTGGCATAGTAATGACAGCCATTGCAATGGATTGAAGACTTTTCCCCAATATTGGAAATGTATTTTCACCAGGAATCTATCATTTATAGAAAATATGTATTATAATGTCAGGGAAACGTCATATTGGATCACTATTGCTATTCTGGAGTAAGTAATGAATGTGTTAACACTGTTACTGGTTTTAACATAAATATATGGTAATAATAGCGAATTTTAGATCAGAAAATCTGACAGATTGTATAGAAAGATACTTTTAACTTCAATTATCACCATAGCATTTTAAATTGAAAAGTACTCTCTAAATGCAAAAGAGTAAATTTGACTGTAAGAGTAGAGGTGTCGCTAGCGGGTGTGGGTTGTCCCGTCAGACATGCCTGGCCCCCGTCGTCCGAAACCACGACGAGGTTGTCCGGCCAAATATATTAATGTGCCTATCTAAAACGTTATTTTGATTGTCAGTCCCTAATATATTGTGGTAAAAGCACAGTTTTTGGGCCATAATAAGTCATAAAACTTCTCTTCATGTACCCTACTACTGTAATGACTTTTTCATTTTCCAACACACATTTATTCTTAAAAAAGAAAAATTTTATAGAGAATTTTCAATATTACTGTATTTAATTTTTCTATTTCACCATTTTAAGGTGAGCGACGTGGCGCTCTTTCCTCTTTTTCATTATTTTGTATTTTGTGAATTTAGTAAAATATTTGAAAATGCACCGACACCGACACAAATTGTGCTCATAAAATTGCATGATAATATTATTCGTTAACTTTGCAATTTTAACTCGAATACATTTAAATAGCAACAATTAATAAAAGTGAACGAATAGAAGATTACACTTGAAATCCGAAATGCCGATCATCATGAGTAAACAAGAAAATGGTCGAGAAAAAAAGTGACAATTTTTATTTTGAAGACTGCATGGCAGTGATGGCCTATAACTCGTTGGTCAGATTTGTGTATTTTTAAACAAATTATTTCAACAAGGATGTTTCGTTGTTTCATGTGGAATTTATCAACATTCGCGATTGAACATACGATAGAGATTTACGACATACTGAAAATATACAATTTTGTTAGAGAAGATATATTTTAAATGAGGAGAAGTCGTTCATTCCCACCATCAGATATAACCATTCTGCCATCTCTAAATACTGCCACATCTTCTGGTTCACGAAGCGCCGATGATCGGCTTTCAATGATTCGCACGCAGTTACCATTCGAATCAAACATTTGCACTCGATTGTTACCATAGTCTGCTACAATAATGTTACCTTTGCGATCCGACACTATTCCTCTGGGACTACGAAAAAATCCTGGACCGGTGCCTTTTCCGTGACCAATCTTTCCAATATAGGATCCGTCAACTGTGGAGAATATTTTAATGTTGTTCGACAGCTTATCGGTTACAAAAAGTTTATCTCCATGAAGACACAGCCCTTTTGGTTTGCCAAGCCTACTTGCGTCTCCAATGCGTCGTACAACTACCCCTTCAATATCAAAGGTGTTTATGCAATGTGCATCAGAGTCCACAATATAGATATTCCAACGGCAATCGACTGCTATACCAATCAGTGACGTGGTTCGAGACTGGCTCGAATCAGTCAAATGCTGGCAAGTAAATCCAACCAAATGTTCACCTGTCCAATCAAAGACATGTACCCTGTAGTAACCATCAACTACTATCACCTTATTGTGAGAGTATGTGGCCACACCCACAGGACATTTCAGTGGATGTTTTCCACGATCACATCGGAAGCTTTTTATGTGAGTCCCGATCTCATTGAACACCCGAATGCAGTTGTTCCCTTTATCAGCTACAACGATAAACTGGTCCTCAGTGATGGCGACACCAGAAGGTCCTCCAATGAATAAACGGCCGTGACGAAAATACTTTTCTCCGAGACTTCTCTGAGCAGCAGAAAGACTGATATGTTGGATCCCCTGGTCTGTATTGATCTCCTGTCCACTTTTTGCTGTATCGAAGTTCGATGAGTGTAGAGAGTGAAACATGTTTGGATTAAAAACCTGCATACCTCGAGGTGACTGGCAACCAATAGTTATCTCATTGATCGTTGGTGGTGGTGGTGGTACGTCAGGCACCAAATAGTCATCATTTATTTGGTTGCTTTGGGCATTGTTGTTTGTATTCTCTGTTGCCCATCTGCTACTTGCATAATCATTTTGACTCGACAACAATTGATACTGGCCGTCATCCACAAATGGCGTTGACGCTTTCTCTTCGGGCTTGTCCGGTGTTAGCTGAGGACCTAAATATGCTGCCCCTCCAGTTGATAGCTGATGAGACCTGACTGGTAGTGTAGGCGGTTGTGGTGCATTTGGGATATCGTTTACATTCATTTCCACGTAACCCAATGAGTCATCGAACGATCCTACTTCATCGATACACTTTATAGCATCTTCAAAATGTGTTTCTATAAAAACCATTGTTCTGTCGTTTGACATCTGCTTTTTGTACAAGGCATCCAGACGACTCAAAAGTTCACCACATATTTTAATCAGATGTTTGACCTGTTCAACATGAAATGAAGAATCCATCTGCTTCTCTACATACTGTATAAATTCAGTTGCATTATGAACTTGTGCTTGTGAATTACTCTGTACTGGATTGGAGTCCAAATCTTCAATTGTCTGCAACAAAATAGCTTCGCGCTTGTCTATACGTTTTCGCAGACGAATAAAGCAATTTTTCACTTGTCTGCGTACGTACGCACACTTTTCGGCGATCTCTTTCATTGAATAAGCCGTTAATTGACATTGGCAACGGAGATCTGTCAGTTTCCAACGAAGCACATCTAACTGGTGGTCAACATACACACCATTATCTTGTTTAAGAGGCACTAGTTGTTTAGCCCGAGGCGGCGGTGATGTTCGCGGTGTAGTTTGACTACATCTTAGCATTGTAATTGCCTGCACCATTGTCAAGTCGTTCGGGAATCCACCACAACCCTCGTGTGGCACGTCAACCACTGCGCGACAAGATGCGCAAACAACCCTACCACTTTCTTCTGAGATCTGTTGAACACATGATAAGCAAATGGTATGCCCGCACGGAAGAAGCTTTGGTAGCCTATTGGTTTCATTGTAGTTTTCATAACAAATTGAACACTCCACAAGTTGCGTCAGTGATCCTTTGGTGGCTGCGTTAAAGCTCATTATAGCTGATATCGTCCTGTTTATCTGTAGAAAATCAAACACATTGGTATTATTAGGGCCATCATTATCTTCATGAGTGTTTAACAACATATCAGTTTGGATGGAAGAAGACTATAAATGGTGTTATTATTGAATTATTATATACATAATACCGATGGTATTTTCACAGATATTTTCAAAGCCTCTACTTTACAAAGATATTTAATAATGTGCCATCGTATTAAAAATTCAGTGGAAATTGATTTGATAGGCCTATGGATTAAAAAAAAAATATCTAACAAAAACAGACTAAATAAACACGCAAAAACACAAAAAAAAAATACCCAAAAACCGAAAGATATACAACAACCATTTAAGTATACCTACATTGGAACCTATTTTCTGGAGGGTCCCATATATCGTATAAGCAGATCAAACCAGACGATTTCATCTATCTAATAGCACATATGCGTTCAAAATTAAATGTAAGGGAGTCTGAAAAAACATAGAATTGGTCCAAGTCCTCTATCGCTAATTGACTACAATATAGAAAGATAGTTTTTGGCTAACCGACAACGTCTTCGATTCTCTCAATGCTGTTTCTAGAAACAGCTACTTAACATGCAGGCCTTTTAAAGCAAACAATATTAATTGGCAGCGACTTCACATGTACAAGGTCTATTATTTCTGGATAAGATACATGATTGGCATCTCACTCAAACTTAAAATGATATCATTGTTTATTTTTGTCCACATGCCATCATCATGCTAACAATTTTGTAACACTTTTGCCAGTGTTGTTTTTTTTCTTCTATATTTACGGTAGTCCACTGTCTCGCAATATTGGTTACAAATAGTTTCTGGTCGCGGAATTGTTTTAATAGGTCGCACAATCAATTTAGATCGCGGGAAAAGTTGATTTTACAGAGGACGTTTTACTTAAATCGTAAGTTAACAAATTATTAAACAATTGTTTGCATTGGCGAATTAGTTTGATCATAGAGAAAATATTTACTCTAAAGTTTGATTGATGCTAATATACATCAGTGTCAGTTTTCTTTCGTAAATAGTTCCAGGTTAAATATTTATGGTTTATCTATTTAATCTCAAAAGAAGGAAGATTGTAGCTTATTTATTGTTTTAAAAAACAGAGTTCAAACACAAGTTTGTATATACTGTATATATATATATATATATATATTATATATATACGATATAAATACGATATAAATACGAT